GATGAGCTCATGGACTTCGGCTTCCCCCAGACCACCGACAGCAAGATCCTGCAGGAGTGCGTGGGCCTGGGGGACAGCCACAGGGTGGGCCGCGGGCGGAAGGAAGTGGGGGAGGGCCGGGAAGTGTCCCTGGGCCCAGCGGCTCATCCCCCCTGCCCTCCTGCCAGGTATATCACACAGCAGGGCAACAAGCTGGAGACTGGTAAGTCACGGGTGCCCCCCACCGTCACCAATGCTGTGTCCTGGCGCTCTGAGGGCATCAAGTACAAGAAGAACGAGGTCTTCATCGATGTCATAGAGTCTGTCAACCTGCTGGTGAGCCCCCACCCCCACCCCATACCTCTACTCCACCCCTGCTACTTACTGCCTGGAGGCAGGAGGGGAGCCCTGTTGTGCCTGTTGACCACCCCGCATGTGTGCATCCTCAGGTCAATGCCAATGGCAGTGTCCTGCTGAGTGACATCGTGGGCACCATCAAGCTCAAGGTGTTTCTGTCGGGAATGCCAGAGCTGCGGCTTGGCCTTAACGACCGCGTGCTCTTTGAGCTCACTGGCCGTAAGCGTCTTGGGGAGAGCCGGACCCGCCCCGTATGGGAACCCAGAGAATTGCCGCTGGTTCTGAAATAAGCGCTCGGTCGCCCTCTTCTGGTCATGACCAGTACCGCAATGGCTGGTTCATTACACAAACGCGGTTTCGTTTAGTTATTGAGCGCCAGATGCTAAGAGACTACAGTGAAGAAAAAGACAAATTCCTGCCCTCTTGTAGCTGATAGTCTAGTGCGCGTGGGCGACAGGATAGTATCGGGTTTACAAACCTGACAGCAAGAACCAGATCCTAGCTCTGCTCATAGACAGCTGGGTAACCCTGGGTAAATTATTCACCCTCTCTGGGCCTCAGTTTCCTCATCTATAAAATAGGGGTGATGGTAGTGATAGGCAGAAAAGGTAGGGCTAGAGAGCCTGCCCTGGCTCCAGGCCCTCAGGGCCACCCTGCATACTTTGCTCTGTGTTTCAGGGAGCAAGAACAAGTCTGTAGAGTTAGAAGATGTGAAATTCCACCAGTGTGTGCGGCTGTCTCGCTTTGACAATGATCGCACCATCTCCTTCATCCCTCCTGACGGTGACTTTGAGCTCATGTCCTACCGCCTCAGCACCCAGGTCAGGCAGGGTCAAACCCCACGGTAAGGGGTGGGCAAGAGCTGAGCCCAGAGTGACTGAGAACTTCCCCTTCCTCTGCCTGCAGGTCAAGCCGCTGATCTGGATTGAATCTGTCATTGAGAAGTTCTCCCACAGCCGCGTGGAGATCATGGTCAAGGTGGGCCTCGGAACAGATACCGTGCTTGATCTGGTTGATCACCAATACAGCCTCATCTCTCGTGTCCCTCAGCTCCTCACTTCCCTCGAGCCACGCTGGTCTCCTGGCTGGTTCTCAGTCATGCCAGGCACAGTCCCATCCCCATCACCACCACCCAGGGCCTTTCCACTGGCTGTTCCTTTCTCCTAAGTCACATGGCTCCTTCCCTCATCTCCTTCAGTGCCTAGCTAAATGTCACCTCCTCAGAGAGGCCTTCCCTGATGTCCCCATTTAAAATGTCAGCTGCCTAGCATTCCCCACCTCCCTTCTTTGCTCTGTTTTTCCCCCTACTACTATACATCACCATCTGACGTACTGTTTTACTTTTCACATCATATACACACACACAAATGTAATATGTGGTTTAAGAGTAAGGTACCCCCCTTATTCAGAAGTGCTTGACCAGAGCCTCTGAACCCCTGTATGTCCTTCCAGTTTCTCTTTCCTGCCGGACCAAGGTACTCACAATCTTGAACTTGATGTAAACTATTTATTTGCTTTTGTCTGTACTTTGCCACCCTCATTTGTAGCCATAAATATTTTGTTCTGCTGGTTTCTGATCTTCAGATGCGTGGACTCGGGCTGTGTGATTTTGCATGACTTGCTTTTTGTTCATTAAGGTTGATTTTAAGTGAATCCCAGGAGTGGTGCTTAGCTCATCCATTTCCGTAGCTGTAGAATATCCTTCCACTATGGGAATCTTCCCTGTTTGTCCATTCACTCACATGGGGTATTTTCAGTTCTCAACTGCTGTATGTTGCCATGGACAGTTCTGTTCATACCTTCCTCCAAGAATTTCTCTAGAGCTTACAGTTAGTGCTCGCTTGTTGATGGGGTAACTGAGGTCAGAGGGATAAGATGTCACATATCTAGGAAAGGGGGGTCACCTCACATTGAAACTTCTAACTGTCTGGCTTAAGAGTCTGTGTTCTTAGATTTGACTTTGTTCCCTGGTCTTGGGGGAGCTGGGTTGCAGGGTGGATGGTCAGCAGGGAGAATCTTGATGCTCCTCAATGTCCCAGTCTCTGCAGGCAGGGAAAGGGGAAAGGGCCATTAATGCTGGTGCCTTCCAGAAAAAACAACCCGTCCATCCCTGGTTTACCTCCAGGTCTTCTGCCCCTGACCCCCACCTCTCAAATATCCCTCCTCATGTTAAAAGCTTGTCCCATGTCACACGGTGCCAGATATAATGTAACTTACTCATTTATCCTAAGGAGGGCATGTGATGGTTGAGCACAAGCTTAGTTTGAATCCCTGCCATGCCAGTTATCAGCCCCGTGACTTGGGCAAATGCACTTTCTCTTCCTTGCCCGAGTCTCCTCATCTGTATAGTGGACCTTAGGAATGGCTCCTACTTTAGAGAATCACTAAGAGGACTGAGTGCTTGGCACAGGGACTGGCCCTGGAAAGGACTCAGTAAATGTTAGCTATCAAATGAAACTCCTCTGTGATGGGCTCAGGGGTGTCATTTCGAATCAGGCAGAAGCCTGGGACTCTTTTCAAAGGGCAGGCACCAAGAGCAAAGCCTCGGGTTTCTCATGGGTGTGGACCCCAGCTCTGCCACTTGTTGGCTTTGTGTTTCCAGGAAAATGCCTTGGCATCTCTATTCATGTCCCGTGCTCTCCCTGCTGGCAGGCCAAGGGGCAGTTTAAGAAGCAGTCAGTGGCCAACGGCGTGGAGATATCCGTGCCTGTCCCTAGCGATGCCGACTCCCCACGCTTCAAGACCAGTGTGGGCAGTGCCAAGTATGTGCCAGAGAAGAATGTTGTTATTTGGAGTATTAAGTCTTTCCCGGTGAGCACTGGGGGTAGGGGGATGTGTGTATGTGCGTGTGTGTGTGTGTGTGTGTGTGTGTGTGTGTGTGTGTGTGTGTGTGTGTGTGTGTGTGTGTGTGTGTGTGTGTAGGGTGGCGGGGGTTGGGGGGGACCTGTGTCTGCTGCTTGGGTCATGGTGGGACTAAATCAGAGACCCACATATATGCTTGCACATAGTTATCCTTTGGGAGCAATAAAGCTAAAAACCAGGCTCGCATGGTGGTTAAGTTCTCCACCTACAAGGTCTTGGGAAACCAGCCCAGGTTCAAGTTCCTTCCCCACCCTTGCCTCTCTGAGCTAGACAGCCTTTGGAAACCCACTTTCCTTGATGGAGTCCCAGTTTATCCATCTGTGAAATAGGTAGGATTATGTTAATATCTTGGGCCGTTGGAAGATTTGGTTAGCTCCTGGGACCTGTGGGAGTTCAGAGGGGCCTGGACAATGGGAGATGGTCATTAGAAGCCTTACCAACTAGGTTTTGCAGTTGGAAGCTTCAGCAGAGTCTTGGCCGGGAGCCTTTACTTTCTTGTCTGTGAAATGGGCAGAGCAGAGCCTGCTCAGACGGCTGCTGTGAGGATGGTTTGGGGTGGATAGGGGCACCTTGGTGTGTCTGATGCCCCCATGTGCCCGCAGGGGGGCAAAGAGTACCTGATGCGTGCCCACTTTGGCCTCCCCAGTGTGGAGAAGGAGGAGGTGGAAGGGCAGCCGCCCATCGGGGTCAAGTTTGAGATCCCTTATTTCACCGTCTCTGGCATTCAGGTAAGGGAAGTGGGATGGTGGCTTTTTCCTTGACCTCATTGGAGTCCCTTCTCTGCCATCCTTTCACTTGGGTCTCTGTTCCCTGGCCTAAGTCATCTCCACTGCTGCCCACCTAGGTGCACCTCAGACACTTGCCTTGTCAGGCCATGGCTGCAGGTGAGGCTGCACCCAGCCTGGCATGGCCTCAAGGTTCCAGAGAGCCTACCCACCAGGGAAAGGTGGGAGCAGAGCCCCAGGGCTCCCCCCACCTCCCTCAGACTTTGAGGGTGGTAGGGTCTGGGAAGTGCTGGAGGGCACCATTTCTCTGAGCCTCGTTGTGGGTGGTATAAAAAAAAAATCAGAGACCCACATATATGCCTGCACATAGTTAGTTATCCTTTGGGGGCAATAAAGCTAAAAACCAGGCTCGCATGGTGGTTAAGTCCCCCACCTCCCAGGTCTTGGGAAACCAGCCCAGGTTCAAGTTCCTTCCCCACCCTTGCCTTATCTCACCGTCTCTGGCATTCAGGTAAGGGAGGTGGGATGGCGGCTTTTTCCTTGACCTCTGTACCGCTTTGTTTCCACTAACGAGCCCGTTGATTCTGTCTCCCCTGCCCACAAGCTGTTCACCAGTCTCTTGGCCTGTGCCATCTCATGCCCCCACAAACTGCCTTCCCTTAGACTGTGCTGCCTCTTCCCCTGCCTTGCCCCCCCACTGCCCATGCCAAATCTTTGCCCCAAGCCATGTCACCTCATTCCTCCCAGCCTCTGTCATCTTATTCCCCCAAGCTGCGTCACGTGTATTCCCCGGCCCCGGCCAGTCCCTTTCCCTCCCTCCAGCACGGACCACCTGCTTCCATGCCCTTCCAGGTCCGATACATGAAGATCATCGAGAAAAGCGGTTACCAGGCCCTGCCCTGGGTTCGTTACATCACCCAGAGTGGTGGTAAGGCAGCTGGCACGCTGGGACAACGGGGTCAAGGAGATGAAGGGGATGGTCTCGGGGCTTTGGCTGTTTTTGGGTTTGGAGAATTCCGAAACTCAACCCAGGCCTACCCCATTTTTGTCACCATGCTACCCTGAGCCTTGGTTTGGCCATCTTTAAAATGGGGCAGTTGCCAGCTCTAGTGTAGTGGTGGGGCTTGGACAAGGATCTGACCGCGTGGCATCCCCATCTGCCTGGAAACAGACTTGTTGCTGTGGTCCTGCCCTGTTTAATGCCATCCTTATCCTTGTCACATACTCATGGAGCTGATCATGGGCACTGGGGCAGGGGATGGGTTTTTTTGGGGGGTGGGTGGGGAGTTTTCCCTCTGTCTCTTTTCCCCAATTCTGAGACTGTTCCTGGTCTTTTTTTATCCCTGCAGATTATCAACTTCGAACCAGCTAGAAGGGAGAAGAGATGGGGGCTTGAATGTGGGGCCTTCCCTCTCCCCAGGCCTGCATTGCAGACTTCGGGGGTGGGAGATGGGAGGTGCATGTGTGAGGGTAGGCACCTGTCTTAGCAATTTCCTGCTCCCAGCATCTGACTGCTCCCCACCTTTCCTCTATCCATAGTATGGGAGGGATGGTCTCCCTGCCTCCCTCTGGGCTCTCCCAGCTCTAATTTTATATGAAGTAATAGAGGGGGGGCTTGAAGTCCCCCTCATGAGTGCCTTTTTGCAGTGACCTGCCTTAGGGGGTGTCGGGGGGCCCCTCCTTCACAGTTGCTGAGCCCAGAGGTCCTGTTGGCCCATTGGCCCATTCCTCTGAGTTTTATGGCATTAAAAAAGATGAATCTAGCTATTGTGTTTGTGCTTCTTGGCTGACGACTGGGGATGCCAGGGAAGTACCTGAAGTGCTGGGATGGGGGTGGGCAACGCCTCAGCCCTAGTCATGAATCAGTGGATCATCTGGCCCAAGGCAGTTGCCTCCCAACCCCAGCCTTTGCTCCCCCAGCATCCTCCTGGCTCCCCAACAAGTCAGTGCCCCTTGCCGCCGCCAGAGGCTAAGTCCTATCATGGCTCCTCCTCTGCTCAGAACCTTGTTAAAAGTGAAAGTCGGGGGCCCACCGCGCCCACCAGCCTGATTTGCACGACCCCTCCCCCCAGCAGCCTGCCCTCACCACTTCCCACTCACCATTCCTGTACGCCCCAGACACACACCTAACACCCACCTCCCTGTGCATGTGCAGCGTCCTCCACCTGGCATGCTTTTCCTGATATCCACATAGCTCCTCTCACCTTCAGGTCTCTAATCAAATGTCACCTCAGGGTGGCCCTCCCTGACCTCTGTTCCAAAGGCCTCCCTTTTCCAAGAGACTATCACAGTGAGTGTTTTATCATCTCCATAGAGTTTAACACTGGGAAAAGATTTATCATCTCCCGCCCTAATCGGTAGGCATGCTGTAGCAGGAGCCATCCAGCTGGTTCTCTTTCCAGTTGGGTGCCCAGTACACAGTAGGTGCTCAGGAAATATTTGAGTGTAGGCCTCTGGAAGAGCAGCCTCCAACCGCAACTCTCGCTTCCCAGGCTCGCCACGTGGCAGCTACACCGTGCACTTTCCCTCACGCCCTTGCATCTGCATTGCCAGGGCGGGCCAGTCTAAGCCAGAACGTGATTCCTTCTCACCAACCCATTTCCCCGTTTTATTTTCTTCTAGGTGCTTAACGCTATCAAAAATTATTTAGTGGCCCCGACTGTGCCGTTCCGTGCGCGGGTATCGGTTCCAGCACACAGTGGGCGGATAAGTGAAATAAAGCGCTGGGCGTACAGTAAAGGTAAATGCTGCTCGCGTTACGGGACGATAGAATCTCCGACTGGGTGGCCCCACTGCTGCCTCCCTTCCTCCCGTAGGTGCCGAGATCCTGGATCAGCCCACGCTTCCCTGCCCCTGACCTTTCTCCTCCGGGTCAGTAAATCGGCCGCCTTTCCCGCCCGCCCGGCGCATTTGAAAACTGAAAACCCCGCCATTGCCGGCAGTCCACCGGTCACGGCGGCTCGACCAATCAGGAGCGGCTCCGTCCGCTCCGACGCGCTTACGCTCCTCGGAGACTCATGCCCATTGGCTGCGCTTGCATGGTGGGCGAGGTGCCGCAGGGTCTGGCCCGGGGCAGCGCGGCTGGGCTACAACGTAGAGAGTTCATAAGAAAACAAATCCGTGGCGTTCGTGGGCGGGCCCTCGAGCGTGCTGGCTCGGTCCCCTGGCTGCTGACTCCGCAGCTGCTGCGGCGCCGGCTCAGAACAGACCCCGCCCGTCGAAGAGGAGGGAGGGTGAGTTGGGGGGAGAGCCGGCCCTCAAGGGGCGGGGGCCGGGCAGGGCCCTGCCGGCAGCCGGGGGTTGGGCGGTGCTCAGTCCCTCGCGACCCGCCGGCTGACAGAGGGAGGAGTCAGCCGGGGAGGGAGGGGGTCGCGCCTTGGCCCTGACTGGCGAGCCGAGCCGGGAGCGTCGCGCAGGCCCGTCTCGCCACGGGAGGGCCGTTCGGGCCAGCGCCAGCGGGCTGCCCCGTACTGACCGCTCCGGGTTGGGGCGGGGGGCTTCGCAGGCCGCCAGTGTCGACATGCTGCTGGAGGAGGTCCGCGCTGGCGACCGGCTGAGCGGGGCCGCGGCCCGAGGCGACGTGCAGGAGGTGCGCCGCCTTCTGCACCACGAGCTGGTGCACCCCGACGTCCTGAACCGCTTCGGCAAGACGGCGCTGCAGGTGAGTCCCGGCCGGCCCACGTCTAGGGCGAGGACCGGGACACCAGACTCCTTCCCTCTCGTTTCTTGGCCCCGGCGGTGGCCCGCTGGGGTCCGGGCCTCCTCCTCTGGGCTGACGTTGCTCCCTAATGTTCCCTCTCGTAGGTAGGTGGTGGTTGGGGGAGGGCAGGGCTTTCCATCTTCTCTGGAAGATTCCTTGTTCTCTGGCTGTGAAGGATTCATTTTTCGTTAGTGAGGGCCCAGCTTGTTCGGATCCCGCTTCTAGGGTTGGCTCCGGTTGCTTGGGGGGCTTCTATATGGGATTCGATCTCTAGAAAGAGGGATTCATGTCTCCAGGAGGGTCCCCATTTTCTGGAGGATTTTCTGAAATATCCAGTTACTTGGGGAGAATTCCATTCCTGGGTTTGTTGGGGTTTTTTTTAGATTCCTGGTATATTATGGGGTGTTCCAATAGGGAAATAGGGGAACAGTTACAGATTGCGTGGGAATCCTTATTACCTGGGGGGCATTTTACAGGGGAACCGCATTTCTTGAGGGGGGTCAAGTGCCCTGGGAGCATCCCCATTATATGGGAGGGGCTATTCCTTGGAGAAGGGGTTTCAGATTTCCTGGGCATCTCCTTTCCCTCGAAGGGACTCAGTCTCTTTGGGGACATTTTCATTCTATGAAGCCTGTTTCCTGGTGGGGGGGGGTTATATTTCTTGGTGATTTCCCATATCTGGGGAGAAGGGGGGTCATCTCTGGTTCCTTGGGGAGGGTCTTAATGTTTCCCTGGGGGCATTTCTTACCATTTGGGGATGACCATTTTCTTGGGGGTCCCTATATCCCCCTGGTGTCTCAAACAGCTTCCTGGGGGCTTGTGTTCCCTGGGGTCTCACCATGCTCTAGAGGACCTCTACTGGAGTTCCCTATTTCTGAATGATCCCTCTCACCAGTGACCCTTTTTCCTGGAATCTTTCCCTTAAGGACCCCTACCCTCTGCCCCCACAACAGGTTATGATGTTTGGCAGCCCCATCATTGCTTTGGAGCTATTGAAGCAAGGGGCCAGCCCCAACGTCCAGGATGCCTCTGGCACCACTCCAGCCCATGATGCAGCGCGAACTGGATTTCTTGACACCCTGAAAGTTTTGGTAGAGCATGGCGCTGATGTCAACGTTCCTGATGGCACCGGGGCGCTCCCCATCCATCTGGCAGTGCGAGAGGGCCACACCGCCGTGGTCAGCTTCCTGGCTCCTGAATCTGATCTTCTCTACAGGGATGCCAGGGGCCTCACTCCCCTGGGAGTTGGCGCAGGGGAGGAGGGCTCAGGATCTCATGGACATACTTAAGGGGCACATGGTGGCACCGCTGTGACCCGGGGCCACCTATTCCAGCAACAGGACCCAGATGGGTTCTATGCTAAAAGAGGAGGGAAGAACACTTTCTCCCCTCGCTTCCCCTGCCCACCGTCGAAGAGAGAGGGGCCCCAGTTTGTGGCTTGTTGGTGTTGATTTCTGGGGTGTGTGTGTTTGAGGGGCATTTTTCATTTGTTTTTCTCACCCCTGTTGGTGTGTCAGGGCAGAGAAGGGCTCCTGCAGGCAACAGCCACCTAAACGGTTCGGTTTCCTCCACGCCCCAGACTGCTGGGGCTGCAGACGAGTCCCAAGGACAGAGCGTTTAAAAGTCCCAGTCCGGGTGAGGTCATCGATTCCAGGGCTCCTGGAACCTGGCGACCTTGGCCGGCTGCACCCAGAGAGAGACCTTAAGTGTGCGCACTGCTTTCAGACATGGGGGGAGGGGGGAGTGTTCCAAATCAATAAAAGGGGTAGTATAAGTTCATATTTTTTTGGAAGCTTGTTTTACAGTCTCTTGTACAGCGTTTTTAAAAAAAGATTCTATTTATTAAGCTTTGTGAAAAAATTGTGTGTAATAATTTAATGTTTTTACCTATTAAATTAAGATTTGTGCACGATCACAGAGCTGGTGGCTTCTGATTTTTGAGTCTGCGATGGAGAGTCGCGCCTCCAGGATGTTTGTCCGGGTGGGCACGGGGGTCGCGGTCAAGGGTGCTTTGAGGGACAGGAGCGAGTGGTAATTCCCAGGGTGCCGGGGACGAGAGAGCTGGGTGGGGCAGTGGTTTACGCTGCGGAACGGAAGGGAGGCAGGAAACCGCGAGTGGAGAAAGGGCCCCCAGATGTCAGCTGGGTGCCGGGAGCCCCGGGGGTGGGGAGGATGGGGGGATGTTGGCTGCAGCCTTCCCCGCAGGGGCGGGGATTGCGGTAGCGGGGTGGCCGGAATCCCGGACTGGCCGAGGGCGGGGCTAGATACGGCCCGCAAGGCCCCGCCCTCTTTAAAGCTCTCGTAGGGCAGGCCGTAGGTAGCCCCGCCTCCTGGGGCGGTTGCCCTACGCGTGCGCAGTGGGCCGCAGGGCCGCCATGAGGGAATCTCGTAGGTCATCACCCCTGCGGGTGAACGCGGCGTTTGCCGCGCGGTACGGCCGCTACCGGGAGCGCGAGGAGCTGCAGCGGCGTGAGTGCGGGACGCATGCGCGCGGGGCGTCGACGCGTGCCGGGTGGTCTGGTGCTGGAGGGGTAGATCTGGCCTCCCAGGCTGATCTGGGGGGGCTCCCCTCCGTGCCCCGCAGTGAAAGATCGCTACGGGGACCCGGACAGCGGCGGCGACTCCAGCTCCGAGTCAGACTCCAGCAACGAGCGCGTGGTGAGTCTCCTCGCTCCGGCGCCGGATGTGCGGGAACCATCCAGGCCCCTCACCGCATCGGGAGAGTCCAACCCTCGCCCCCTGCTGCAGTGAGGGACACACAGCGCCCTCCCCATCCCCAGGGGGTGCACAGTTCCCCCTACTTCCCCTCACCCCACGGAGCCACCTGCCCATCTTGATGTTGGGAGGTGCGATCGCCCTGCCCTCTGCACCCCCAAGAGTCCAACCATTTCTCAGTGTGCGACTCTGTCCCTGAAGTAGGGTATCACTCTGTCACATGGGGCACACAGCATCAGCCCTGATGTGTGGCCCACCCTGCTCCCTCCACCACCTGTTTGACCACTCCCCCAGCCCTCCTCCAGCCACCCACCTGCAGGCCTCGAGCCCCTTCGCTGTCCCTCCGCCCTAATTTCCACACCGTCTCAGTCCACCTGTTCATGCTGCTTCCTGCCGGCCTTGCACCCAGCCCCCCACCAGGGCTCACACCACCACTCTTCTGAAAGGCTGTCCCCAATCTTTTTCATGACCTAGGAATTTGACCCCCAGCAGGACCGTGATTTTTACAGGACTCTCTCCTTGTTGAAGAAGAAGGACCCTCGCATTTATCAGAAAGATGCCACCTTCTATCACAGAACAGGTTTGGGGCTTCCCCTTCCTGACACTCAGGTTCCTCACCAGCTTACAGGTTGTTGTGACTATGTAATTGTCATATATGTCAGAAGTGCTTAGCACAGCGCCGTAGGTTATTGCCTGCTAGTTAGTAATGACTGTGCGCCGCACTGTTCGGAGCACGAATTACTCACTGGCAATCACAGTCACGTAGTAGCAAGTGGAATACCTGTTTTACACCTGGGACCTGGTGGCTTGGGGATTTGAAACCTCAGTGTGACCCTGGCCCTGCCCTACGGGATTCTCTGCCTGTGGAAGGAAGGGGGTTGTGGGTGATGGCAGGTGTCTTCTCGTGGCCCCACAGCACCATCCTCAGAGAGCGAGGAGCAGCCGGCAACCGAGGAAAAGCCGAAGAAGGTGCAGCGCATGTACTTGAAGGACTACGAGAGGAAGGTTATCTTGGAGAAAGGAGGGTGAGAAGGAAGCTGACAGCCCGGCACCCCCTTCTTCCCAGCACAGGCAGACACATTGGGAACCTACAGGCAGGGGTGGGAAGAAGTCGGTGACTCACCAGGATTGAGGGAATCCCAGAGAAAGCCTTGGTGGCCCATCTGTACCTCATTGCCCCTGTCACGCCCACCAGCTGCTGCTGGTAATGGCTCCCCACCCCATGGGGACAGATCAGCCCTGGGGAGTCTATTCTGAGCCCCCATCCTTCTTTGCACAGCAAATATGTCGATGAGGATAATTCAGACGGGGAGAACTCCAACCAGACATGCCAGGTGGGTTGGGTGGAGGGTGGGTTGGAGGGCTGAGGGGCCCAGGGCTGGGCCTGGTGCCCACGACACTGTCTCTACAGCAGATCTCGAAAAGTTACGTGGAAGAACAGAAGCAGCTCAAAGAAAGGTGAGCCTGAGCAGGGTGAGCGGCGAGAGTGTAGGACTGGAGGCTCTGGGGAGGACAGGTCATTGGGTAGGCCACTTGCTTTCTCCATGCCTCAGTTTCCTCCTCTGTTAAATAGGGTTGATAATGCCCTGTGTGTCGCAGCACTGCACCGAACTTTTTGAGGAGAGCTTGGGGCTTGGTTAACGGGTTAATCTTGGGGCAGTGGGCAGGGGCCAGCCTGCCTATCCTGAGCCTTGTTCTCTCTGCAGCTTCCGGGCATTTGTAGATGACAGTGAGGATGAGGACAGTGCCGGGGAAGGCAGCTCTGGGTTGCTGCAGAAATGTCCTAAAACCAGGCAGGAGAAGGTGGGTGCTGGGACCCCGGTGGCCTAGGGCTGGTGGTGGAGAGGGGGTGCTAGGGCTCCCCACGACCCTCCACCTGGCCTTCCCCCAGGCCCAGGAGGATGCCAGCTACCTGGAATGGCTGAAGGGGCAGAAGGAGATGGAAAACCCCGACACCCTGAAGGAACTGGTGAGTCCCCAGGCATGGGCCATGAAGGACTAAATTGCTTGTTTTGCCTCCATTCAACCTTTTTCCGGAGATCTTGAAGGGGCGGCCAAGAGCACACACCCGGAAGATGGGGTGTGCTCCTCTTGGGGCCTCAGTTTCTAAGTCTGTAAAACGGATTCCCCCGTCTACTCTTATGGGCCGGCTGTGAAGTTTCAGTGACGTCCACTTAGTGCCCTTGTCTGCCCTCCATCCCTGCCCCGAGTTCCTGACCCGGGTCATCACCCCCTCACCCCCAGACCCACCTCAAGGAATACTGGAACAACCCAGAGCTGGATGAAGGGGAGCAGTTCCTGCGGGATTATATCCTCAACAAACACTACGAGGAGGAGGAGGAGGAGGAGGAAGAAGAGGAGGAGGAGGCGGCAGGGTGAGTGGCCATGTTCCCCCAGGGGCCTGACATCAACACTGACCAGAAAGCAAAGGGCCCCAGGGGGTTGCTTTTTCACATGGACGGTACAGTTAGTTTTCGCAGAGGAAGAGCGGAGGTGAGCGGACCCTAGAGCCAGGTGGCCCTGCTGCTAGACTTCCGTGCCTCAGCTTCCCCACTTGCAGAATCGGGGTCACAGAAGCACCCAGCTGCAGGGTCCTCGTGAGGGTTGAGTGAGTTGGTACGGCCGGTCCACTGGCCCGCAGGACCCTGGCTGACCCCTCGCCCTGCCCAGTAGTGTCCCCGACCTCCCAGTTCAGCTGGTGGTGAATGACTCCTCAGACGAAGGGGAGCTATTTCTGAAGAAGCAGGAGGACTTTGAACACAAATACAACTTCCGATTTGAGGAGCCGGACGCGGCCTCGGTGCGTAGCCAGAGCCAGGGCCGGGGAGGGTCCAGCCCGTGGGGCCCCGGCCGGGAGGGCCTGGAATCATCTCTGTGGCCCTCCTGGGCTGCCCTGCTGCCCACAGGTCAAGACCTACCCTCGAAGCATCGCGTCCTCGGTGCGCCGCAAGGAGGAGCGCAGGAAGGAGAGGAGGGAGGCGACTCGGGAGCGCAAGAGGAGGGTCCGCGTGGGGGCAGCGGGCTGGAGGCCTGCCCGTCAGCAGGAAGGGCCCACGCCTGCCCTCTCACCCCTGCCTGCTCCCTGTAGGAGAAAGCCAAGAAGCGGGAGGAGCTCAAACAGCTGAAGAACCTGAAGAGGAAGGAGATTTTGGCCAAGCTGGAGAGGCTGCGGCAGGTCACGGGCAATGAGACGCTGGGCTTTGAGGAGCGGGACCTCGAGGACGACTTTGACCCCACCCGGCATGACCAGGTCATGCAGGTGAGGCCCCTGCACCCTGCCCCAGCCATGCAGCCCAGTGCTCGGGAAACCAGTGGTCTAAAACCAGTGGTCGTTTGTTGACTGTGTGGCCTCAGGGAAGTTACTTGACTTCTCTGAGCCTGTGTCCCTTTCTGTAAAGTGGGTCCAACCGTCACATCTATCTCTGGGCTGTTGTCAGGGTAGCCTGTGGGGAGTCCATGTGAAAATTAAGTTGGTAGGTGCTCAAGAACAGTGGGCTGCTGTAGTTCCTTTAAAGTCATTTATTGAGCTGTTTATTGTTGTATTGGGGGGGAAACAGCATCAGGCCATGGAAACAGGCGGCAAGAGCTGTCTGGGAAAAGCAGTGGGGACTGTAGAAGCCCGAAGAGGCTCCTGACAAGCTGGGAGGTCAGGGGAGACTAAGGATGCATAGGTGGGCTTGGTGAAATGGAGTAGGTGGATGCTGTGTGGTTGGAGTTCAGCTTTCACTTTCTAGAAGCTTCTCAGATCTGAGCTTCAGTTCCTCAAAGGATAGAAGTGGTTTCTATCTGTGGGGTGTTTGTGAGAACTCTGTGAGAAGCAGCTCAGCATTGGGCATGTCGTAGTTGCTTAACAAATGGCTCCGTCACCAATTTCTGCCTTTGCTAGGCCTCCACTGGGTGCTGGGGTTCCAGCAAGGGCCCAACACAGTCTCAGCCCTTTTGGGGCTCATGGAGGTGTAAGAACCTGTCTCACATTCATTGAGCACCTACTGTTTGCCAAGCACCTGGTAGCATAGCAGTCCCTCCCCTCCCAGAGCCCCCAGTAGCAGGTGCTTAACTGTACAGTTACAACCCCCAGGGATGAGAGTGGTGATGGGGACACACGGGGGGAGGTGGGGTCCTGGAGGAGCCCCGACTGGCTTTGGCAGGCATGAGTGGGTTGAGGCCGGTAGCCAAGCTAAGACCAGAAGCCTGAGCTGAGCAGCTAGCTGTTCAAAGAGGGAGTAGGTGCACCTGGTGGGAGTCCTATTAGGGCCTCAGTCCTGAATGGTGGCCAGTGTAGTAGGAGGCTGGAGGGGCTGAACACACAGGGTTCCCTCCAACCCCAGGAGCCAGGTCAGGTGCAGGAGTACAGCGGTCAGGGGAGTGGCCCTGCTGACCCTGCCCCACGACTGCCCTGCAGAAATTCTTCGGAGATGAGTACTATGGCACCGTGGAGGAGGAGAAACCCCAGTTTGAAGAAGAGGAAGGGTTTGAGGGTGAGGTCCCTGGGATACCCCACTTGGGGTGGGGGGTGGCTGGGTCCAAAGCCCAAGGTCCCACCCAGATCCTGCCCTGCCCGCCTGTCCTCCGGAACCAGATGACTGGAATTGGGACACGTGGGCTGGGCCTGAGCAGGCCAGGGCTTGGAGCCAGCAGGAGCTGCACTGCGAGGACCCCGATTTCAATGTAGGTGCCATGGGCAAGGGCCCCAGGGGGGCAGGGAGTTGGGAGGAGGCGAGGGCCAGCCTGACCTGCCATCTGGCAGATGGATGCCGACTACGACCCCAGCCAGCCACAGAGGAAGCAGCGTGAGGCCCCGTCGATGGGCAAGAAGAAGCACAGGTCGCCCTTTGCCACAGCTGTGGTGCAGGCAAAGCCTGTGTTCGACCCAGGTGAGGTCCCCATGGGTGGTCAAGGGTGGGCTGGGGCTCTGTAGGGCCCTGCACAGCCCGGCAGCCTAGCTTTGTCCCCAAGCAGGGGACACATCGTTTGAGGAGTACCTGGATGAGTATTACCGGCTCGACTACGAGGACATTATCGATGACCTGCCCTGTCGCTTCAAGTACCGTAGCGTGGTGCCCTGCGACTTTGGGCTGAGCACTGAGGAGGTGGGGGCTCTGGGCGGGCACAGTACCCCAAGGGGCACCCAGTAGGCACAAGGGGACGCAGAGCCAGCAGATGCTGCCACTCAGCCTGTTTCCTTATCTCGAAATTTATCCGGATGAATGGTGCCAATGACCATACTACGGACATTCCTTGCCTTCAAGGGCTTCTGTGAGGCAGGGGGCTTTAAGCAGTGCTTTGCCCAGACATTATTTTTAATTCGATCATTGTGTATCTGCAGCTGGGGGACCTTAAAGACTTAGTGGGCCTTGGAACCAGATGACCTGGGTTCAAATCCTGCCCTGGCCACTCGCCAACTGTGTGACGTAGGATATGTGACTTAATGCTTCTGCATGCCTTAGTTCCCCAGTCTGTCAAACAGGCCTGGTAGTGGCCCCTACCTCATGGCTGTGGGGCTGAAAGGAATGTGTTGCTCTTTGGCTGGCAGGTGAGGCCCCTGCACCCTGCCCCAGCCATGCAGCCCTGTGCTCGAGAAACCAGTGGTCTAAAACCAGTGGTCATTTCTTGACTGTGTGGCCTCAGGGAAGTGCCCCTTGCCAAAATCATCCAGTGGCGTCTGCAGAGAGCAGTTCACCGCAGCTGCTGTGGCTCCTTGCCGAGTGGTACTAGCGTGACTCTGCTTTGGCTGATGAGGGGACTGAGGGTTAGAGGGAGGCGGGCCTACACTCAGCCATTCACGTAAATTAACTTCTTCAGCTTTAAATGCACTCCATGAGCTCCTGTCTACCCCTGCTTGACAGACCAGGCAGTAATAGCAGATCCCCCTTCCTGTGCAGATCCTTGCTGCTGACGACAAGGAGCTGAACCGGTGGTGCTCACTGAAGAAGACCTGCATGTACAGGTGATGGGGTGGGGTCAGGCCAGGTGTCCCGGAGGAGGAGGGGCAGGCAGGTCAGCTCAGGCACCTCCCAGAGGCCCCAGCGGCGTGTGTGCTGGGCACCCACAGGTCAGAGCACGAGGAGCTACAGGACAAGAGAGTGTACAGCCAGAAGGCCCAGAACTTGTGGAAAAAGAGGCAGATCTTCAAGTCACTCTGCCCAGAGGAGTAAGTGTCACTAGGGCCAGGGGAGGGTGCGCTGGGCTAGTCTATGTCTGTCAGCCATTTGTTGTGTGACCTTGGGAAGGGGGCTTCCCTTCTCTGATACCTGGCTTCAGATCCTGGATGGGCCATAGCTGTGTGACCTGAGGCAAGTCACATCCCCTCCCTGGATTTTTTTCCTCATTTGTAAATTGGGGGTTAATAAAGATGGCCCTTTTTGTGTTGGGTTTTTGAGGATTAGGTAAATTAATGGAAAGCGCTTGGAACAGTAAAAGCCTGGTAGGTGTATTTCCTGATCAGTAAAGCAGAGGTTGATAGAAGCTCATGGAGTTTTTCAAAAGCTGAATAAATTACTTTACGCAAACAGCTTAGTGTTGACCCAGGCTCAGATACCAGAATTATCAGCCACACAGTCCAAGCTCGGGGTTCAGTAGAAAAGCCTTTTTGGTGTCAGACCGTGGTTTGAATCCCAGGCTAGTCCCTGCATTGTTGCACTGCTGTCTGAGCCTCCCCTTTCCTCATCTGTAAAACGGGGGACATGTGCTCCGTACAGACTGAGTCCCAGCTTTCTCCCTTAGGACAGAGATGCCCATGGAAGCCACACGGAAGCCACAGAGAGACAAAGCAAGCCCGCAGAGGCAGCTGCTGGCACCTGATGCGGCCTGCAGGAAGCAGCCCCAGCCTGAGAGCCCCCCGGCACAGGAAGAGGTGGCCTCTGTGTCACGCACCAAGCCAGACCATCAGAGGCGGAGGAGGGGCAAGAAGGCCCGTCTCCTGGGCCCCACTGTGACTCTGAGTGGACGTGAGTTTAGCCACCAGAGGCTGCAAGCCTTTGGCCTCAACCCCAAACGGCTACACTTCCGCCAGCTGGGCCGGCAACGGAGGAAGTACCAGGGGCCCAAGAGCCGTCCCTGAGCTCGAGGTAGCAGGCAGGGTCCTTGGCGTTCTCCCCCTCAATCAAGCCCCTGGATGCCTTCTCCTGTTTTGACTGTATAATCCTGTCTACCTGTGGGCGAGGGAGTTTTACCATCTTACAGGTGTGGAAGCTGAGGCTTACTTAAGCTTCCCTGGACCCCATCCCTCAAGTTCTGGCCCATCCAGAGCCACAGTCAAGTCAGATGGTTTTATTAGCCTCCAGTGGCCACGGATCCCCCTACTGCCACCAGTCCTTGGCAAGACGGGGGCTTGGGGACCGGTGAGTGGCCTCAGAGGTCCAGTGCAAACTACAGTACCTGAGTCAGGCCCTGAGTGGGTGCCCGGGGTCCCTCCCTCCCTGCCCCCAGGAGAGGCCCAGGAGCAGGCGCTGCCCCTGGCCACACGCCCCGGCCAGAGGTTTCCTGGACTGGTCGCAGCTGCGCTTGTCAAGGTGAAATGGGAAGGTCCCTGTTCTCGGAGTTCAAGCTTCCACACCCAGTGTGACATAAATAAAAAAATAAATAGTGTTGCATCTTCTTCCCCTTTCCCACCCTCTATAAAAACACAAAGTCCTCAGAACTTGGACGTTTGGCCTTGAGGTGCTGCCCCGTGCGAGGGAGCTGCAGGGTGGGCTGGGAGAGCTGGGAGCAGAGGTCATCCAGGCTGTGGTCCTGAGCGTGGCCCTCGGCCAAGGTGAACATGGGGTAGCGCTCCGTGACTGAGGAGCAGCTGAGGACCTGGTGGGAGGAGGGAGAGAGTGGCTGGGCTCCAGGCCACGCTAATTACCTTGTAGGTATAAGTAGCCTAATAGGTGTATTTATCGGGTGCTTCAGGATCTCAACTGCCCTCCAGGCAGTGACCCAGGCCAGCCAGTCAGCACCTTCCACTCCCGCCCCCCGCCCCGGCCACCGCAATTGGCTCGGCCTGAGCATATGATCCAAGCCAGCCAATGAACTGCTGCTGGATCTGGGAGAGCGGACCACACCCCCCACCCCACCCTTCCCCAGAGTCCGGTGGCCGCCTCTTGCCCCCATAAGGGTAAAGCCCTGATAGGACAGTAGGGCCCTGGATGTAGCTGTCCCCCGTGGGAGTGGTGCTCTAACTTTTCATTTTATGCCCTTTTTGGTGGAACCAGCTAGAGCTAGGTTTTTGCAGCTTGTGGCCAGGGTGCTAATCTTGCCGGCACAGCAGGGAAGAAGATGCTGGGGTCTGCGGGACTCCAGACCACAGTTCCTCTTCCAGTCCCTCCCTGCCCCGCTCCCACTCCTTGCTCACCCTGGTCAGCTCTGAACAAAGTGTCTCAAACTCCTTCCTGTCCCCAGCATAGAACCCCACAGTGCAGCTCGGGTCCATCTTGGTGAAGGCCATCTTTCGGGGTGAGGTACAATGGAAGGACTGGGGCAGACACAGGAGGGAAGCTCAGGAGGTCCCAGCTCCCTCTCCGTGATCCCACCCCATTGGGGATCCCAGCTCACCTCCAGGGGGAAGTCAGCCTGGCTGACATCCACAGTGGGCTGGCAGTAGTGGGGATCCAGGTAGAGCAGGAAGTCATCTGCAGGGTTGAGTCATGAGTGGAGGGGGTGGGGAAGGGTAAAGGGACAGATGGGGCACACCTACCCTGGTAGCCGATGAAGTACAGTGAGTGCCGAGGCTTGCCCCCCATGATGCCCAGGCACAGCTCTGACCGCAGGAGCTCCTGTGGGAAGGGGAGTGGGCAGAGGAAGGTAGTCAGGGCAGGTGCTGTCTGACAGTCATTCAACAAACAGCAATGCCCAATGTATGCAAATCCAGCTCTGCACTGGGCCCTGGGGGACAGCAATGCCCAGACAACACCACAGCTCCTGTTGGGGAAGCTAACATTGTAGCTGAGGACACAAAGTAGGAACAAGATGAGTGAGTTATGTTATGAGTTGGGTGATACCACAGAGAATACAGAAGGGGCTTTGGAATTTTCAGTAGGGCAGACAGCAAAGGCCTCTCCAAGAGGTGATGTTCTGTCAAAGACCTGAAGGGGGGAGGAGAGGGCCTGAGGAGTGCACCTCCAGGGAAAGGGCACTCCAAGCAGATGGAGACAGTGCCAAGGCCCAGAGGCAAACACGCTCCCGGAGCACTAAGGCAGCCTGGCTGGAGCCCAGTGAGGTGAGACGGGTGTGGGCAGATAAGGTCAAGGAAGGGACAGGGACGGGGTGCCAGGCCTTGTAAGCTGTGGGGGGAACTCTGGCCTTTATTCTGAGTGTAAGCACACTAGGGTCTTCCCAGCCTTGCTGTTCCTTGTGCCTGGAGCACTATTCTGGCCCCTCACTTGCCCTGGCTGGAGAGGGGCTTCCCCAGGCTGTGCAGCCACCCCAATCTGTCCTTCATCGTGTCAGTTTTGCTTCCCATAGAGTCCAAGTTGTATGCCACAGCTGTCAGTGTGGGTCCAGCTCCACTGCCTGCCAGTCCTGGTAGAGTGTCTGCTCCCAGAGGGCCTGAATGTTGGCCTGTTCATCTCTGAATACCCAGCAGCCAGGACTGCTTTGCACATAAACTACTGAATAAACATGACAGGATGAAGGAAGCATAAACACCTCACACCCAACGGAGGCTTGGCGGACTCTGGCCGAACCTACCTTCACGCAGGGCACGTACACGGGGTTGAGAGTCTCACCACCCAGCCGCACTGGCACCAGGATGACCACAGACTTCCACTCAGCTGTGGGGTCTGCCCTGGCCACCAGGCGTGCCACATCTGCCTTATACACTGGAAGGACAGGGCAGCAGGTCACATTCTTGCTCACCCTTAAGTCTCAGAATGTAGTCCCCCCAACCCCAGGGGTCCAACTGCCTCTCGGGGTGACACTCCTGTTACCAGGGGAGAAGGATGTCTTTCCAGTGGGCTCCCCCAGCCAAGTTCCCTCAGATAATCCCAGGGCTTCCAGGCAGGTGTGGACATCCTCATTTTATATGCAGAACAACCAAGACCCTGAGATTTAGATGAGGAGCATAAAGCGAGGGGAGGCAGAGCCCATTCCCTGCAGCCTGGACACCTCCCCAGCCCAGGGCCTGACTGGTCCCCACTGATCAGTGCCTGGCTTTGCCAATATNCAGCCCAGGGCCTGACTGGTCCCCACTGATCAGTGCCTGGCTTTGCCAATATGGAAGTGGGAGCACGGAACAGTTTGCCCCTCAGCTGAGCACTCCTGCGTGTCCCTCCTCAGTGGAGTCCCTGCTGGTCTCCATTCTCCCGACTCCTCCCTTGCCTCCTCCTGGCTCCCTCAAAAGTGGATTCAGCCCTTCCTGGAGACACAGCTGTTACGGTCTGAATGCTTGTGTCCCTCCAAAATTCCTATGTTGAAATCCTAACCCCCAAGGGGATGATGTTTGGAGGTAGGGCCTTTGGGAGGTGATTAGGTCCTCGGGGTGGGGCCCTCATGAATGGGACCAGTGCCCTTACAAAAAAGAGCTCCTTGTCCCTTTTGAGGACGTGGCAAAATGAACAAGAGAAGTGGGCCTCCACCAGACACCTAATCAGTCAGTGTCTTGATCTTGGATTTCCCAATCTCCAGAACTGTGAGAAATAAATGCCTATTGTTTACAAGCCACCCAGTCTGTTGTATTTTTGTTACAGCAGCCAGAATGGACTAAGATAATGGCTGTCCATGAAAATAGACCCTTGCCCCCAAATTGCTACTATTTTGCATGAAAATGTACAAGTTTTGTAGATCTCCTAATATCAATTCATGGAGGCACCTGTTAATTGAGACCATTGCTGAACTGACTTGGAAGGTGGCAGGGAATAATAATAACAGTGTTCAAAAACACGTGAGCACGTACTTTGTGCCCAGCACCACCTTTAACCTTGGATGGGTGACTCATTTAATCCTCATGACAACCCCATGAGGCAGAGGAGACTGGACTTTCATACATGTTAGAACTGTTTATAGAGTAAGAGTGAAACAGGCCTGAGAGAGGGAAATACTTATGTCCTTAACTCTACCACTGTGGGGGAAGAACCGTGGGGTTTCTCTCCTGGGTAGAGGGATCCTGAGCACCTGCACTGTGTGAGCCTTAATCCTTTCCAAGGGTTCTTCTGCCCAGACTTATTTCAGCCTCTGAGGAAGGGTCCAAAGAGGCAGCTGAGGGAGTTAGTGTCTGGCTCAGGTCAAGAACCTTGTGACCATGATTCCTAGGCCCTCACCTGTGCAGTCCTGAGAAACGTATACAACCAGGCGGGTGACCTCTGAGCAGCTCTCCACAGCTTTCCTGGGGGTGGGAGAGAAGGCCTGAGTTCCAAGGGGTACCCAATGGCTCCCATGTCCCCTGCAGCGGCTCTCACCTGAGTATGTGTGCCACCAGAGATGGCCCATACCAGTCACCCGCCTTCTTGCCTGAGCTCTGCCCAAGCTCTACCAGTCGGTGTAGGCCGAAGGGGGCCTGCGGGTGGTCGGCAAACCAGGACACAATCTGCCGGTGTTGGTATTCCTGCTCCAGCTCAGAGGCACCCTTGGCCCAACGTGGGGGCACCCAGCAGGCAGGTCCACGGTACCAGTTGGGAGAGGCCAATCCTGATGGCTCAGGGGGGCCCAGGCTTGAGCCCCCAGCCCACGTCCAGTCTGGTGGGGATGGAGTACACAGTCAAATACTGCTGGTGTGTGTTGGGGGGGACACTGTTCCATCTACTCATGCTTTACCCACAATTCTCATGATCCCAAGACCCCATGTTTAACAATCATTTCAACATTCCTGAAACATTTTATAAACAACTCTCACTCCCCCCAAAAACCTACTTCACACACATTTCTACCATAACTTTCAACTCCTGGTCTGCCAGCAATGCTCACACTGCTGCCCCGTGTGGCTGGTGCTGGACGCCCGGCCGGCCCCTCCCCTCCCTGCTCACCTCTGGGCAGGAAATGCAGCAGCAAGCCCTGTGCCAGCATCATCTGTCCGCTGCGTAACATGCATCCCCAGCCGCAGTCCGAGGTCAGGCTGCCCCCGGCCAGGGGTGGGAAGTCCCGGCGGTATGTGAGCCACAGGAGAGACATGAAGTCCCGCTGAAAACGCTGGATGTCACCTATCAGAACAAGCTTGTCAGTTGCCACCAGCAACACCCCTAGGGGCCTCCCCCAACCCTGGCCTGGGGCTGCCAGCTCACCATCGCCCTCGAAACAGTAGCGGCGGCCACAGAGGTGGACACTGGAGATCTTGCTAAAGCTGGTCCGGCTTTTAACCGCCCAACCTAGGGAGACAGGAAGTAGCACCCGGCGAGATGAAACACTTGCTTGGCGGACACACAACCTAACACTAGGACACCAGCGTTCCCATTCCTGCAACTGCGAAATGGGGACCATCCTAGTTACTATCTCAGGGGTGGGAAATCCATGCCATATTCCTCTTAGATGGAGGCAGAGCTCCTGGGAAGTGCCATGGCAGTGTCTGCTGTTAATTCTCAATGAATTAGGTCAGAAAGTCAGGTCTGATTATTGTACCCATTTTGCGGAGCAAGGAAACGGACACAAGCACAGAGAAACAAAATACCTTGCCCAAGGTCACGGGGG